TATATATTTTATAAGACTTATCTTATAGAGGATGCCTTTCGCTGGTGCCGTCTCTTGCCGCTGTCTCACATCCTGACACTGGAGGAGTCGAAGGGGAAAAGGGGCCACTTCCTGTTAAAAGGCCTCCAAGCCAGACTGCCGCTTGTGTGCTTTATGCCAGCTGCCTGCCCGAGTTAGGGCCCGAATTAAAACACAGAGAGACTTGTATTAGATTAAATTCATGCCTTTAATTCCAACACTCAAGTGGCAGAGTCAGGCAGATATCTGAGTTTGAGACCACTCTGGTCTACAAGAGCTAGTTCCAGGACAGGCTCCAAAGCCACAGAGAAACCCTGCCTCAAAATGAAAAGAAAAAAAAAAAAACATCTGTGAAAGAACCAAATCCATACTGGGAACACAGAAGGAAAATATATAAAGTCTAAAATTGACAGAGACATCTGGGTGTCTGGACAGTCACCCTCAGTTCCTCTGTAAATTCTGGCATAGATCACCACTTCTCTCTTACATTTCCCATAATCCTCTTTGACTCCTAGTCCTGACTAACTTGCCGTTTCATTGGCCAAACAGAACTTTATTTAACAGTCAATAAGATAAACATACACAGAAGTACTTCCCCCATCATCTCCCCTTTTCAGTCTAAATAAAAAGAAAGATAACTTATCTTTTATAATAACTGAATTAACCTGCTGTAACTCTGGCCCAATTGTTGTAGAGTCCATCACAACTTATAATCAAAATTTGTGGTATAGCCCATGTTGTACTGGGTCTGGAAAGAAGAAAGTTGTAAAATGTATAGGTCATAGATTCTTCCTTTGTGGTTTCATATTTCTGTAGGTCTTTGAAAGGTTTGAAGAATACCTATCCATCTTATATACATCTCTGTATATCTAGAAAACCTAAGTAACCTAATTATACATTCTGACTATTATAGGTAACTATATAACCTGTATTTAATTAGTCATATGTTGAGATACCCAAACTATGGGACATCTTACATGGAAAGCTGAACACAAGAATGTAAACAGAAAAGGAGAGACATGTATGACAACTTTTAGGGATAGATCTATCTAAGCCTTTTGAGAATGATACCCCACCTGTGTATGGTAGAGCTCCAGGAGTATGTT